AGGATATATATATATATATATATATATATATATATTATATTAATATATATTATTGTATATCGTGTTTTATTCATCTCAAGCATCGAGAATCCCGGATCTCACATTAATTATCACCGTATCAAATACCAATTTTACATACTATTTCTTCCACTTTGCAAAATTCACAGGTGGGACAACGGTATTCTCACGGTAGGCAAGGAAGGCGAGTCGGCTCCTTTCCTGACCTATGCCGATCCCGAACCATTCGGAATCGGTTATTTCGGCGTTTGCACCGCCTGGGGTGCTACTGGTGACTGGCTCATCGAAGGTAGTAATCAGAACTTTTTCTCTTATTCTCGCTTTAAGGATACACATTTACTTCTTTCCAGAACTTTTCTTTCGTAGCTATCGGTATTCTCTTTTTATGACCTTTGACTTATTTTACAGATAACATAGATGTCCGTAGTCACAAGATAGAAATAATAAAGAGAACTCGTAGCTTGATTATTTTTATAGTAGATTGATCAAAAGCTTCTCATATATTTCCGTAGATATTACCGTAAGATTGATCTTGATACTTTCTGATTTTTTGATTCTCTTTTTGGCATTCTTTCGGATTGGCCGATCTACTGCTAACGTATCGCGATATTCGCATAGCTATTTGCTGCGGCGGCGGTTCTGGTGGTTGTACGTAATGTATTAGAGCAAAAACTGTATTAGAGATTCCTGCAAAAATGTGACGTAATCGCACGTGACGTCCCGTAGATTCCGCTTTTCTATTTGAATACGTTTGATGCCATTCTAGCACGTGTTGTTCTTCCATACGTAATCGATGCTGGATTAAAAACGTTTCTTTCATGGAAACTCGGTGCTGTATACGAGTTTTTACATTTGACAGATCCATATAAAATATTTATTAATCCATTGCATCGATATACATAGCACGTTTAATTCTGATAGATTAGAGACACTGTAGGCACGATTGATTCCCTTTCAACCATTCACGCACACACATGCACACATCGATTGATATTCTAGGTTTATTTATTTCACTGCTTTCTCTAGCTTTCGGTAACTGAAATGTATATCAAATTAAATAATAAAAATCACATGAGATAAAATATCTAGTAAAATGTCGTTCCTTTAATTCAAAAAGAAGTCTATCAAAAATAATGTATACATAATTATTTTATTATTTTATTATGACATAATTCTTTTTATTATAAATACCAATCTTTGTATTCATTATTTAAATAAACACTCTCATTTTGTTATTTTGACTAATTGTTTATTTTGTTATCAATTACATTAATATATGCAATACACAGTGAAATTGTTACAATACAGTTTGTCTCGAATTTTTAATTGGTAATTATTCTTTAATCTTTTTTTTTCGCTCGATGACAAGGTCGTAAATCTTTGAACACTCCTAACAAGTTACAATACAAGTTTCATGCCGTGCGAAGCGGCTCAGTGCTGATCGACGTGAAAGCTAAGAGCAACGGGCACATTGCACTAACAGACCGGAAAGGCGAATCGAGTCCCATGTACGAGATCATGCTCGGCGGGTGGGAAAACATGGCGTCGGTTATTAGATATGATCGCAAGCAGCCTGATAAGGTTCGAAATGATTTATCTAATGCATATCAGATTAATTAAGCATTAAAATGTTAAAGACGTATTCCAATGCATATACGTCTTTGCTCTCACGTGGGAAATTTTGCGACCCATTAGGTGCGCGTGGAGACGCCAAATCTTCTCAGCGATCGCGAACATAAGAGATTCTCGATCACGTGGCTCGAGGGTCTCATCACGGTCAGATCGGGTGGTCCGAACGGCGCCGTCCTTATGGAATGGCGAGATCCGAATCCCATCGGTGTGAGCTATGTGGGGGTGCGCACCGGTTGGGGTGCAACCGGAAACTGGAAACTCCATTTCGAACATTATCCCGCAATTGCTACCGGTCAAAAAAAATGTAATGATCTTTCTGAACGTCTCCGGCGACTCCCGAGATCGGTGTCAATGCTGAGAATCATTCCTTTTTATCCGTCGTAATTTAACGACTGATAAATTCGATACCACGTCGACGCGATCTCGAGATCACCGAATGATATTCAAATCTTATTACGCTTGATTGCGACGTAAATCTGTATTACGCTCTCATGCACATGCACATATTTGAAACTTGGCTTTTGGAAACCTTTCCCAAAATCAAGCAGCTTCAGGCGTACAATTTTTCACCGGCGTTTTTATTAATTACCAATGTCGCTTGTTTTTTATTTTCACTTTTCAATTATTCTTTAAATGGGCACTCTCATTAACCGCATGAAATTTTATTTTATTTTAAGACATTACTTGTGTACGCAAATGTAGATGGATGATGGATTGGATATGGCTTAATTGGATGGAAAATTGTTGCACCGCTAATTTCCAATATCTTTTATTCGTTATAATTTAACTTTTTTTATCTTTTTGCGTCATTGAATATAAGGACATAATTGTAGATCCTAGCACGACGCCATCCGCACCATTGGAAGTCCGCGGTCTCGATGCAGGAAGCGTATGTTGGTGCGACGCGTCCGGCGGGATGGTACCACCTGACGCAGTTGAGGGTGGAAATGATGGGGAGCCTCTGTTCGTTGGAAGGGCTCACCACGAGGGTGCTCTCATCCCCGGCAAGGTGAAGCCTAGTCATTCCGTGTGCTACGTCGCCTGGGGCGGCGCTGAACATGGAAAGACTGACTACCAGGTAACAAGAATTTTATCAAGATTTTTCCGAAAAGAAGTTTTTAGAAGAATCGATTTTATCATCACAAGACTACGTTTGCAGTCTAATTTGCGGATTTTCAAAGTAGTTTACAAAGAATTCTTGTTGTAGGTTCTTTGCGGCTGCAGACCCCAGTGGGTACCGGTAAGTGGCGGCAATATCCCACCAAACGCGATTCCGGGAGGCGAAACCGAAGATGGTGAGCCGCTATTCGTCGGCCGCGTAAATCACGAGGGCTCTGTGACTATCGGCAAGGTGCAGCCTTCTCATAGTGTATGTTACATACCTTACGATGGTTCCGAGATCTCCTTCTCCGAGTATGAGATCATGGTCGGGCAATAATCATCCTGAGAATTCCTATGGCCACGAAGAGAAAAATTCGATAGAATAGATTTGTTGTCGACTTATCGACAGTTCTGCGGAAAAGAGAACTCAGCTTCGAATTACAAAAACATTTTTTACAATCATATTATACAAAATATATGCGAGAAAACAGGAAATTATAGAATCTCTAAACATTATTTAAAAAGTTCATCGATTTGGAAAGATAAATATACAATTAATGATTTAATTATAATACTACTTTCTAATCTATCAACGATTTGTGTTTATTTATTAATCAATACAACAAAATATATTAAAATACGGATAAGCAATCTCAAGTGTGCAAACTAGTCTAATTACATTATAAGTTGATAACATTCAAAGATGCTGTAGAACTGATCGATAAGCCGAAGACGTATTGTTCGCTATCGTCTACGCAAGTGTCTGCTTTTCGCATAGAACATAATTGCAGTCACGCTATAAAAAGAAAAAACAAATCAAACGGCGATATATGTAACTTGGCTATATACGTTATATGCATATTTTTTTAAAATAGGCACTGAACATTATCTGGTTAAAGTGGTTGTTTCGTCGTTTCTCTATTAGGACGACGATTCATAGATACATATTTTTATTCAAGGTAGATCCATCGTTTTCTAACGCACAAATATACATGCTTTTTGTCAAAGAGTATATTTTCGAATTATGTATCATTATGACAAACAGATTAAACGTATGAAATAAAAAAACTTTATTGTTCTTTTTTTTCTTGTGACACCGATAACAAAATCTTCAAGACAAAGAGACGTGGCAAAAAAAAGACTTGCAATATTAAAAATTTAAAAGTATTAACAGAATTACGATTTAATTCATAGGAATTTACAATTTTCGTAAATTAATCACGAAAATTGAAATTTTCAAAAATTTACAAAGTAAGAAATTATAATAAATTGTAATCATAATTGGCAAAGTTGTTTTATCAAGATTTTTTCAAAGATCTAAGAATCGATATCTCAAAGTTGGATTTCTGTTGGATTTCTATTGGATTTCAAATCAAATTGCAAAAATCAGGAATTTCGAAAATTGTCGATCAAAGTTATTCCGTAAATTGAAAAATTACATATGAATATATGAATTATCTATATGAATTATTTATGTATTCTTTCATAATGTTTACGTAAACTTTTTTTATATAGACAATATAAATTATATAAATTTTTATAAATTGGATTATAATACAGAAAAAGTAATTAAATATTTAAAAGAAAGATAAAAAGACAATGGGTATTTAAAAATGATTGATAATAAATGATTGATAAAATTAGATTATAAGTTTATAAAAGTATATTGAGTTATTGCGTGCAAAATATTAACTTTATTTTTTAACTATACATGTGTATATAAAATTTAAAAAATAAATCTGAGTATATATAAAATAAAGTAATTATAAATAGAAATTTTATATATATAAAAGAAAAGAAATATAGAGAAATATATACATATATTTACATATATGTATATATTTACTTATATTTACTTATACACATATTTTTATTTATATATACATATATATACATATTGTTATGACCGAGCGGCGATCCGCTCGTCGTTGCCCCGGAAGAATCAATACTTCGAGAATCGATATTTTGAAAGAAAGGATCGTTCCTTAACGACCCCATACAGCACATAAGATTGAAAAAATGTTGATGAGACGTTGTAATATAGATGTGCGGATGTTTCTTTTACATCTAATCTGTGTTGGCTTTTCAACATTGTAAAACAACACTTAACAACATTGATTGTTGCTACAACATTGAATATGCATATATGTATGTATATACATAAATATTCATTAAAATTTTTTTCTGAAATCAGACAAGAAAGGTCGCCAATTTATTAAATTTTTATTGAAATTTTTTTACATCAAAAACAACACGGTCTCAATAAACAGAGCGACACGAATCTTTTGCCTGACAATTATCTATCTGTCCTTAACCAGTTATCCCTGATTTAACTTCTTCTTTCCTCCTTCTTATTGTTCCGTCTCCATCACACACATTTTTTCTCTTTCTCCTTCTTCTATTCCTTTTGTTGTCTTCTTCCTTCAATCCTGTATCGGTTTGTTTTACACGTCTTTCTGACAACAGTAATGATTACTATTTGATACAGACTACTCGACTTTTCGCTCATGGATATTTATTCACTCATTTTTATAAACATAATGACTTTATAATTTTATAATTCAACATAATAATTTTTATTTTTTATTTATTTATTTCTTATTTATTTTTATTTGTATTCTTTTATTTTTCCAACCTCCGATTTTTTAGTTTTTGACTATTTGTGATTTTTTTTTATCTGACTAATTTTAATACGTTTTGATGATTTGTGTGATTTAGCACTTTAATTGGTTTTTATATAATTTAGACTACTAAGAATATCTTTGGGCATTTGTCTGACCTGATCTTTGTCATGTTTCTATCTGTTCATGTTGGGAGCAAGTGACTAGAGACTTTTTTTATTTGTCTTTTTGATTGATCTATGTAAGTTCAATAGCAATATCTCATTTTAATGTATGTAACACAAATTTATTTTAAGATTTATATATTCTACGTTTTCCCTCAGATGTTATTGAAGATAACCTAATACAGGTCGAAATACTTAATGTTGTTACTTCAATAAACAAAAATTCATCAAGCAAGAAGATTCGGTTTGGCTTATATGTCTCTTACTTTTCTCATTTGTACTAAATTATGTTTTATTTTGCTATATTATATCACATTTTCATATATAAATTAGTAATAGTAGACAATTTAAAATTGTATTATAAAAATGAAATATATGTAAAATCATGGAAGAGTAATCCAAAAACCTAAAATCTATGTCATATCGATATGTATCAATGTTCCATCAACATAGATTTAACATTGAAATAATTTTGTGTCAATGTCCATCAGACGTAGACATTACAAGTATAAATCATTCGCGGACATTTTTACATTTACGCAATAACGTTTAACATTGATTCAGTGTTGATCAATATTGATTCAACATCAGCATAGTTGCAACTTAGCGTTTTTAAAACGTTGATTCAATGTTAATGTACTATATGAAGAATATACGTATATTTTCTTTTCTTACGGACATAAAGTCGAATCCGTTTATTAATTTTTAGTAGCATTCTAAAAGTTGTGTAAAAATCATTCTTAAATGATACTCATTGAACATTGAAATCTCTTAAAAAACGACTAAAAGGCATTCTAACATCTTTTGGGACGTCCAAAAAGATATAGAAAAAGATGTCTTATGTTCTGATTTTTTACGACTTACGAGATGTCATTTAAATGTCTATATTTACTTTTTAGATGTCTTACAAGATGTCTTTTAGACATTCTGTATGCCGTTTTTTAGACATTCTAAAAAATAATTCGTTTTGAATTCCCAAATTATGAAATGCATTCCTCTCCTGAAATCTCATTCTGGCATCCCTGATAATAAAGATAAACCCATAAAAAAGTAATGTCCTAGAGTATTGCTTTATCATCTCATTAAAATTAGGGGGTCAATCATGTAACTTTATATGAAATTTTTCACTTTTTCATTTTTCATTTTTTTACTTTTCATTTTTCACAACTTGACATTTCACATGAAACTTTTCACGTACAGCGATTATGTATGTAGCTTGGATGCGTGGAAAATGAAATCATGAAACATAGTTTCATAGGTTTTATAGCTAATGAAAATTATTTTATTGATACAGTATTATATATATCTTTTAATAACCAATTATATATGTATTACATATACTTAATCCTAACGCAGCCCTAATCTTCTCTAATTCTGAAGCATATTTATTAATTCCCTAGATTTCCGCCTTTCCGCCATCAAGGTATATGGCAAAAAAGTTCACGTGAAAAATTTTACATTTTCACGTTTGAGAGAGTTACATGATCCCGCAAAATCGTACATGATCGTAAGTTCACATGAAACTTTTCACTTTTCACGTTTCCGCCCTAGGGGAAAAGTTATATGATCGACTCCTAGATCAAATCATTAGAATATGATTTAAGGATCTCGTGTGTAATAGTATCTAATGTAATATCTTTTATTCTGAGTACATTCCGAACAGTAATAGTTTAGCTTTTTTTTTCTATGTTGGCTGCCATGTAACTAAACCGAGAAGTATTCCGAATCCATCATAAAAAGGTGAAGGAAACATTAAGTGGGAACTGTGTTTATGATAGGGATCATACACAGTTCCCACTTGATGTTTCCTCCACCTTCTTCTATTAGAAAAAGAAAAAATCAAGTGTTGTTTCTTCTTACTCGCACATGTCACCATTGCCTATATATAGCATACTTGGTCTATCTATACTATGTCTAGATGTCTCTCTTGGCATTGAAAGTGTGTCCAAAGTATTTGCGAGAGAGAAGATATACAAGTGATACTCGTCCTTTCTGCGCATGCGTCGAAAGTGACAGATACTCTAGGTAAGCAATATATACCATAGTGTGATGTGAAGAACAATAGGTGACAAAAACTGTCATAAATGATATTATATAGGAATAGTGAAATGTTAAATAAATATTAATATTTACATTATTACACAAGAAAATAATTTTTATTGATGTTTAAAATGAATTAATTTTGTAAACTTAATATAATCTTTGTATATTCGGTAGCGCACTTGCCTCATGGAATAAACGCAAATTAACGTAAATTACAATTATGCTTTTAATAAGTTGCATTTTATAATTGTCAAACACATCTTACTGCAAAATGTGTTCTGTCATTGCGTTATTAGACACTGAATGACAAACATCGTTAAACACTTTCATAGTCACAATTATCTTAATATTTTTTCTAGTGCAAATTATATTATAATTTGATCGAATAACTGCACTCGTGTTATTTTTATAACATCATCTAAAGGAAAAATTAAATTATTTTTGTTTTTGATAGTAATCAAAATTGAGTCAGCAGATTTTGCAGTGACAAAAATTGCACAAATTTGACAAATATGTCCTAATAACTTTCTTACAACAAATCCACTGATATATTTAAGTACATCGTCGACATATGGACTGAATACTGTTAATGTTGATAAATAATTATGGTTAAATATATCAGCAGATAATTGTTTCTCATCAATTTCACTAAATAAGGTTATGATTTTGACGCATGCGCAGGACGACGAGTATCACTCGTATATCTTCTCTCTCGCACATACTTTGGACACATTTTCGGCTTATAGGAAATATAAGCAATTCCTCCTTCATATCTATATATTCAAAAATTATGATGGGTCCGAAACATAGGCATATATAATAGACTCAGTATTAACTATATATATCAATCCTTGGCAGAACGGTGCGAGAGACAAAATATAGGGGAAGTTCTCTCTTTCTCTCTGAGCAGATAAGATGTGCGATCTATTAACAGATTATATGATAGTCGTGATGAACAATTATATTGTTCTTTATAGCTTTACTCTATTAAAACTGTCTTTCTCAATAAACTTAAAAATATTCAATAAACTTAAAAATATTTTATTTTAAATACAAGTATATTGCTACAGATATTAGATGATTCTCGAGTAAGCTATTTTTATTTGTCAATAATGCGCGCGCAGTAAAGGACAGATATTCCCCGATATTTTGCCTCTCTCACCGTTCTGATAAACCCAACTGATGGTATAGAAGAGTATATGGAGTATGCGGAGTCTATATTATATGTCTATAGTCCGAAACTTCTCTGGTTAAGCCAGCGGCACACAATGCTTTTTTTTCTGCTGGTTTGCTAGCTGGATTCGCGTGTTTGCTGAGCTCTTATCTTCGATTGATATATTTTTTTAGATCTAAAAGAATATACCAATCAAAGATAAGAGCTCAGCAAGCAATCAGCTAGCAAACGAGCAGGAAAAAAAGCATCGTGATGCTGCTTTAGTTACATGACAGTCAACATCAAGAAAAAGAAATAAGCCAAACTATGGGTGATTCCTACTGAGCGATTTTCTCCTTCTTGTTGGGAATCCTTTTGTCTCTAGAATGTCGAGTAATCTAACCGATGCATCGTGCAAGGAGTCGCGCAGCAAATGATACAATAAAATAGGATGTTTTGGTCAATTCGTGACGCGACGGATGACGCACGCGTGACGCGCTCAGTGGGAATTCATCCTATCACCGTCCGAAATATACCCACTATCTTATATGATTTTTAGTTATGAGAAATGGCACTCAGCCACATTCATCTATCGACAATGTCATGTATTACTCGCGGATGATTCTACTAAAAGTCGTCGTTTTTTTTATTGTCTTAAAGATATCGTAATAAAAAGATGTTGAATAAAAATGTCTTTTATTATTATGTCTTAAGATAAGACATTTTTAGAACTGTACTAATTGTTTTAAATGTGTCTTTTTGGTATTTTCTTATAGATGCTGTTTTAAGACATCTTTCGGATGTTTTTTAGATATTCGTATTTATTGGGTGTCTACAAACAAAATTATTGAGAGAGATCCGATAGCACACAACGCTGATTGATCAATTAAATATAAAATTTCGATTGGTGGAAAATTCCTAAGTAACGGCTGATGTGTGTGAATGTGTGCTATCAGATGAAGTCCAATCGGACACATTACCGATTGGTCGATTAAATAAAAAAATTTTAGATAGATGACTCACTAGAAAATTCCTAGGCATTTGCTAATGTGAGTGGTGTGTCCGATTGAAAATGTGCGCATCTGAGACGCTCCCGTTCTGTGCGCTAACAGGATCCTCCCTACATTATTTATATAAACGACGTGACATTGTTTACATTGTATTGTACGTAGATATTATATATTTTACGCATAAATATCCAAAATACCCTTGTTGACAATACTAAAATTTATATGCTATATATATATATTCTAACTAAGAAATATTGTCAGTAATGTAATTGACCATATATCTCAAAAAATATCTTATAAAAACTATCTTTCGGATAATTTTTCAAAAAATCAAAGATTTGTAAAATACTTTTTAATAGTTTTTTTAGGTCAAAGACATCTGAAAGAAAAGACGTCTTTGAGCATATTGTAAGAATATATTTTTTGTTTTTTATTTTTTCTTAAGCATGAATTTAAATTGAAAGAGTGTGGCGCAAGTGAATAAGGATTTTAATTTACGGGAATGTACATACGTAACATTCATTTTTCAGAATAGGAAATTCAAAATGGAGATTTCCTTTGACTATGACTGCGTTCCGATATTCAGAACTAAAAATATATAGTTCAAATTATAGATTTTCATATATTATAGATTTTCAATACTAGTAGTGAATATCGGAACGCAGCCTATGGGTTTGTTTTTTATTCCCACACTAAGACTGCACTAGAACTGAATGGGTGACAGCCGATTGACCACTAGCCACTTACAAGGGCCGGCGCCTAGAATTTTTCTACTGTTCAAGCGCTGTGAGTGACTAGTGATCAAACGAGTGTTATGCGAACTGAACTGAACTAAACTAGTACAAGCCAGGAGATCAATCATGTAACTTTACGTGAAATTTTTCACTTTTTATTTTTCACTTTTTACTTTTTATTTTTCACATTTTGACATTTCACGTGAAACTTTTCATGTACAGCGATTATGTATGTAGCTTGGATGCGTGGAAAGTGAAATCATGAAACATAGTTTCATAGGTTTTATAGCTAATGAAAATTATTTTATTGGTACAGTATTATATATATCTTTTAATAATCAATTGTATATACTACGTACACTTAATCCTAACGCAGCCCTAATCTTTTCTAATTCCGAAGCATATTTATTAATTCTCTAAATTTCCGCCTTTTCGCCACCAAGGTACATGGCGAAAAAGTTCACGTGAAAAATTTCACATTTTCACGTTTGAGAGAGTTACATG